TTCCTGATAATTTTGAATTACTCTAGATATATTTTGATATATTTGATCTTAATTTTTAGTTTTATCTAAYAGCATCATATCTTTGCTTTCCTGTTCTTTTTGTTGAGTTTATTTGCTGTGTTTGGAAAGGTGTTTTGACCTTTAGCCTTCAGTAAACTTTGTCATTTTATACATGAACAATCTGATCTCAATATGGTATTATAGAATAAAAACTTTACTGTTTCTGAGTCAGAGATGACCTTATGAATGGGCACTATAAATAATTTTACGGTGTTATTTCAGTACTTGGATAGCACAGAGGAGAAAGAATTTTGAGAGCATYTCTGAAAAAGAAAAAGGACACAAAAGGGGATTGTGAAGACTRATTTCATAGGCTTTGTAACTTGCCAGCTGTATTTTATTTATGCAGAGGATTTGGACATAATTTTAATTGCGTTTTCATTTTCGATGGTAGCATTAGTGTATTGGATTCAAAATTCTTTCATAGAGTAAACAAATTTCATTTGTTGTCTTCTATAAAAACAGGAAAATATTAAGTAAAATTAGGATTTCATGGCTTTTTCAATGCAGAAATTATTTCCATATTGAATTATTTAAATAAACCTTCTTAGTGAATGACCATGGAAAGAGAAAATGGAAAAAGGATATCCTTTTAGGAAGGTCCCTTGAAAGGCCTCAAACTATTAATTAAAATTTTTAAAATTCCTTTTTATTTAAAAAGGAATACTAGGATGACTTTAAGAAAGAGAACTGACTTTCAAGAGAAAAATTATTAAGTTTCCTTGGGATGGCAGCCACATGTAACTTGAAATTAGCATTTGCAGTTTTCTCTGTCTGAATTATACTATAAGCATGGATCAGAAAGTATGGGTGACCTTAGGTGACAGTCTCAGGGAAAGCATCAGTTCTGTGAGACTGGGAGACATCTTGAAAAGGGGAAAAGGTTCCTCTTGGAATGTAAGTGATGAAGGGAAAGAAGAAAACAACTGAAGATAAGGGCTTTATGGAAATAAACTAGTATTTAAACAATACAAATTCTGTTCCACTGCCACCACACAAAATAGTACCATTTATTAAAGAAACTACACTTCAGCACAGCCACAGAAGAGGGTGCTGTTGAACTGAGAAACCAAATAAGCCAGCTTCTCTCCTTTTTTTCCCCATTTCAAGATAAATTGCCATTACTAATCCTGAAAGARCCAATGAATATAATCCTCAACAGGAAAAGAAACCAGCATCTATATGAAGTTATTATCAGAGTAAAATAGGAAATTAAGATCAAGTCTAGTTTGTAAGTTATATGTATACACAAATACAAAGAATGAAAACAAAAATAAACATGTCAAAGAAAAACTACAAAACAAAGGAAAACTGAAATGCAATACTTGAACACGAATAACCTGTATTAAATAAGCRATTGCAATATAAAAGGGCACTATGAATCAGATGTTTTAAAAAATCACAGCTGAAATAGACAAACAACAGGAGGGTACGTGAAACAGGAGCTGAATCAATTCTGCGAATTGACAAAAATCATCTTAGAAGTGAAAACTAAATTAAAAGATACCCAAGGGAAGATAGATATTACCCAAAGTTTAGTAAAGGAYATAGAGAATAGAAATGAAAGAGTCAAGAAAGTGACACTAAAATAAGAGAGATAAAAAGGATTAGAGATAAAATGATAGAGAAGCTCTATTATATTTAGTTCCATGCTTGAACTATAAAAACAAATGAAAAATAAACAGAAGTAGTACTTAAAAATCTAATAAAAAAATTTTTAGAAGTAGAATACTGAATTTCTATATTGAAAGGATGCCTGTCTCCTGTGCATCTGGGAGAATTGATTTAGAATAAACCAACTCAAAATATCTTAATATTAGACCTAAAATAAAAAGGGAGAAAAAGTCCATCTGAGCCTACAAGTAAAAAAATAGCAAGTAACATAAAAATGGTAAAAATTAAAAACACATTAAAAGTTAAAATAAATGGAAAGAATATCAAGCTGGCATTATACCTCTTGACCACAACACATAAAGCAAGAAAACAACAGACCAACATTTTCAAGACATTCAAAATGAACAGTCATTTTAGTTGATTATGAAGCATTAAGTAAAAAAAGTCATGAGTTCATAGTGATACTCAAGATCACTTATGAATTACATATGAGTGATTTTAAAAAAACGATGCAGTTAGGAAGAAAATTCTCAAACGTATTCTTTGTTGTTCAGTATTTGAAATATTTAGATGTGAACTGTCATGATATCTGAAACTTACTTTCAAGAGATTTAGCAAACACACACACACACACACACACACACACACACACATGTCTAACAGTTTTTTGACATTTAAAACAAATTGCCAAATTTCAAATACTTTCGTGTAACTAAAGAAATATCTTTTATAGTAAAAGGAAATATGTTGTGAGTAAAACGTATTCATCTTTTACGTTGTTATTTTAGATTTTTGCAGTAGTCAATGAAGAGTAACTTTTTCATATTTATCTGTATTTTTAGAATTATTTTTAGTGATCTAATACCTCTTTCAGCAGTTACCGAAACTGCTGGTGCTTTCTMAGGAGTTAGGATAGTGGCATCAAACTGAGTTGTCATTGTATTCTTGCCACTCAAGAGCACAGTAAAAAAGAAAGCAACAAAAAACAGTGTCAGTTTTACTTAAGAATTCCTTGGTTGAGGAAGGAAAAATTTTAATGAATGATTTATCTTTTTATTCCTGAATTATAGTATTTACATATTTTTGGTAAATGTATTTTCRGATAGATAATTTGTAAAAAATTTTCTCCCACTCGATAGATGTTTTCACTTTCTTGATTATGTTCTTGAAACACAAAGTTTTTTGAATTTGATGGTGTCCAATTATTTTTTTTCTTTTTTTGCCTTCATTTGTTTTTTGTACACGAAAACATGGATAGACTTTTGAAATGTACATTGTGGAATGTTTTAGAGCAATGTTTTGGTTTGTTTTTGGTTTTGTTTTCGTTTGTGAGTGACTATATATCTGTGATAAAACATACTATATGGATTTGCTAGGATGGCCATAATAAAGTATCACAGACTGGGTGGTGTAAACAACAAATGTGTTTCCTGAAGCCTGGAAGCTAGATGTGTCTGCAGGATTGATTTCTTCTAGGGTCCCTCTTCTTTGYTTGATGGCTGTTTTCCTTTCTGCTGTCTTCACATGGCCTTTATTCTCTCAGTGTGTCCTAATTTTTTCTTATAAGGACACTTTGTGATATTTGACTAGGGCTAACCCCAAAGACCCCATTTAACCTTAATTATCTCTTTGAAGACACAGTCTATGAATGTAGTTATATCCTGAGTTACTGGAGGTAAGTGCTTTAAAATGTGCTTCTGGAATACAGGAAGAGGGACGTAATTCAACTTGTAATAGATAAATAGCATAAAATTTAATTTGTTTAGTTTATTTTTACCATTTGAAGTACACAGTCCACAGGTATTAAGTATATTTACATTATCATGTATTGTCACTATCCATCTCTACAATTTTTTTCATATTGCAAACTAAAATTCTAATTATGAAACAATAACTGCCCATTGTCCCCTCCTCCTAGCCCCTGACAACTTTCTTTCTACCTTCTTCTTCTGTAAAACATAATGTTTTGAGACAGTTTATTTTTCATAATTTGTAAGAATTTTCAAAGTTTCTTGAAATTGTTACGTTTTTATGCTAATCCTAATCTATACACAAACTTTCACCTAGATAAAATACACTTGAATTTCTTTAATCCTGTCTAAAACTTTGTCTTTATTTGAATATCTGCCCTTTCTCTTGGGAGAGATGCCAAAGTTACCAGATTGCTTTACTGTAGCCATTGAAATTTGGGGCCAGTCTATATTTTTCAAGAAAACTCAAAGTTTAAGTTTTTAAATTTTAATTTTAATTTGATAAGTTGATGTATAATTCACAGAAAAAAATAGAAAGGAAGTTTAAATATATGAAGTTCTCATCTTGAAATCTAGTGTTTGCTATTTCTAAAAAGTTCAATAACTTTTTAAAAAAACTTTTATCAGATTTTTTTTTATTTAGGAAGGTTTTCTAACATTCTTATTCCTGTTCTTTACTATTTTATATTGTATTAGATTTGTATTATGTCAATTTGCATCTAATTTTAAATGTATATATTTAAAAGAAATATTTTTCATATAAAATGAACAATTAGGGCTGGGGTTATAGCTCAGTGGTAGAGTGCCTGCCTCTCATGCGTGAGGCACTGAGTTAGATCTTCAGCACCACATAAAATAAATAAATTAAATAAAGATATTGTGTCCATCTACAGCTAAAAAAAATCGAATGATTATGAACAACCAATTGTTTTTATTTCATTTTATTCATATATTCATTCAACAAACATTGAGTATTATATGGTGAACACTAGATATACAAAGAAGAAAAAGCATGATTTTTCTCTTTAAGGAGATAAAAATAATATACCTAGACTGTTAAGAGCAAACAAAGAAAAGAATTGGTGGTTGGTCCTAACAGATGTAATAGTGTGGGAAAAGTAAGAGTTCTGGAGATGGAAGGCCTACTCCGGGGTGGAGAGTAGTTGGATATGGCCAAAACAGTAGACTGGTATATAGAGAAGGTGTTGCTAAAGACAAGGCTTGCAAGAGATTGGAGCCAGGTTTTGAAGGTCTTTAAATGCTGATAAAAACTACCTCCTATGAACAGAGGGTTCTTCAACATTTTCAGGACTCGGAGTGAAAGATAGGAACTGAGAATTTTAGATGAAATTAGCTAATTTCATAATAATTGCAGTTTGAATACATTTTTGGTCATGACCYTTAACATTTTTCATTGGGTAGTTTTCAAAAATTATTGATACATGCTGATTATTTCAAAAACTTATGTTAAATATGTGTATTGTAATATATTTCACTAGTGGCATATTTAAATATTTTCCATATTTAAAAATAGTATTTGCCTTAGATTTGTGTTTTTTATTTCTTTTGTTCTAGCTATACRGAAGACAGGATGGATGAAGATCTAATGGAACCTTTGAAATATGCTGAACAACTTCCTGTAGCTGAAATAATACACCAGGTTTGCTTTTCATTTTATTCTTTTGAAAGAAACAAGATTTTTTAATCTCTGAAAAAAATTGCTTTTGTTAGTTTTCCCCCAGAATCATTGTGCTATAGCTGAAAGGCATTCCAGGCCATCTATCCCTACTTTGGCTGCACTTATTACAGTTAAGTCTCATTCAAAGCACAATATTAAAAGGCTACTTACTGTGCAACACTAGAATTCTTACTTATGTGAAATACAGGGTAATTGGAATTATCTTTTGTATATTGCTTAATAACAAAACTTAATTTCAGAAAACTTTAATTTTGAACCATTATGTATAGTACTTGTTAGTGAGAAGGAGAAAGACCTGAAAAAAAATGTCATTTTTTGGAGTAGCTAAAAAGAGAAAACAATCTTGCCCTACTTCTTCCACCCTCCTCCATTATCAACCCTTGTAAAGTATAATTCTAAATGTCATGTGGGCAATTTGTTCATTTCCAATTATAATGACTCTCTCATCCCTTCTACATAATGATAATTTTAGAAAAGGCAGTGTTGTAAGTATTTAAGCTTAGACTTTGTACTATAATTTTGGCAGCATATAACCTCTGACCTGCTGGGCCAGAATCTAATACTTCTAAGTGGTCTGTTGACTAGCATTATAGCCTTTACACCTAGAAGATTTTTTAGACCCTTACAGATGATAGAAAATATTAAAAGCCCTATTACATGTTAGAATTTCTTAGAATTTTATGAGTATTAGTTATTATTGTGAGACTTTTTATATGTCTTTTTCATTCAAAAGAAATTTTATTTAGCTGATATGGGTTGATTAGAAATGGCAGTTTGAGTTTATTAAAAGAAACAGGGACTTTTACTTTCAAATGTTGGCTATATAGATCTTTTCACCCGTATAAAAATTTAGTATTAAAATTCTGTGAGAAATTATTTTTAAAAAATGGTCAGATATTTGCCCCTTTGGGGMGCTCATCTGTGCTTGGTAATCAGGTCCAGTTTATATGTCAGGAATTCCCCAGTGTTGTCAGAGCTTAAATGACCTAACAGTCTGCAAATGTCACATTTAAAATTCTGTCTTCATGCCTGACTCTCAGCATAAATGAATTAAACAGCAGAGCAGGCAGCAAGTCAATATGTTCTTAACAGTAAGAGTGAGCAGTGAAACAGTTTGTGGTTTGTTCAGAATAGGTAAATAGAATCTGCCTAGAACAGTTCACCTAGAATAAAATCTGAAGAGGAAATAAGAATTAACCTTTAAGATGGTTGACCAGTTGAAATGTCAGTAATATTTTTATAGCATGAATGAACCAATAAACTAACCTGGTTTATGTAACATCTGTGTTTTATAGTCATACACTGTGTGAATTCAAAGATGAAGTATATTGAGCCTGGTGAAAAATTTTTTTTTTTCAGTATAAAAGGCTGTTAATTTTAAGACTGAAGATAAACATTATAATTAAAATTATGTAGTACTGAATTTTATAAAATTTCAATCTTTAAGAAATCTTGCATGGGTAGGAATTTTTAAATTCAATTWTTATTTTTATTGAACAAAATTTTTTTCTCAAGGAGTAGTCAGAAAAGGTCATTGTTAATATCAGATTCTCCATTTATTCCTGTTGTTATTTCCCTTTTTTGACTTTACTRTAACTTAGGGACTGTTGTCAATGAGTTGTTCAAGTGGTCTTTAAGAAATATATGAGTTATGGACTAGAGACATGGCTTAGTGGTAGAGTGATTGCCTAGCATGGAGGAGACACTGGGTTTGGTCCCCAGTACTACAAGCAAACAAACAAAACAAAWATATGAGTTATGTTGCCAAAAGTTGATTTATAAGGTATTATAAAAGTATCTTTTCCCTAAGAAAATAATATGATAATTAGGTTTAGTTAATTTCACAAAACTTTTCAATCTATAATGTATTTAGATTACATTAATCTATAATGTATCTAAATATTAAGTAATTACAATTAATGCATTATTGTTGTATATAACTAGCCTCCACCCGTATCTGTTTGTATGAAAAATAATCTTGCATCATACTTTACCTGTTTTAGAGCATAGATTATTTCTATTTGATATAAAGTTGTTTGCATGCTGTATACATCCTGTTTGATTATCTTTCTGGACATTCTTTTTTTAAAATATTTTAGTRGTATATGGACACAATATCTTTATTTATTTTCATGTGGTGCTGAGGAKCRAACCCAGTGCCTTACAGATGCTAGGCAAACGCTCTTCCACTGAGCCACAACCCCAGCCCTTTCTGGACATTCTTGACTGATTGATATTCCTTTCAGCATCTTATATTATGCCATCTATACATGAATTTGAATGGTTGGATATGTACTTTGAAAACCAGGGCAGGCTCTCTTTGTCTCTTCTCTATTACCCAGGCACTAGAAGCCCGGGACTCTCACTGATAGCACCATTTCGAAGCTGCAGAAGAAATGGAGGATTCCAAGAGAGAGGACAGGGACAGTGTCTATATTAGGAGGAGCAACTTGAGAAATAGAAGAGAGGAATGAGTCTTAGTCTTTGACTAATTCATTTCTTGTATATGATACTTAAACTGTTACACAATCAGGAGCAAGTTTGGATTCTCGTTATTTACCAGTTGGTATTGCCAAATTATTTACCGTTTTTTTAGTGGTCCTACCAAATATGATTGATTGTACATCCGAGTAACCCAAAAGATTCAAGTTACAAACAATAAAACTAATAAGAGAAACTGGTGAGGTAGCAGGATAGAAGTTAAATAAAATTGATAGCTTCTTTGTATTTACAGTAAACACACAGAAATGGAAATAGGAAAAATGTTCAGCTACAGCAATGCAAGGAATATTAAATAATTACAATTAAATTTAACAAGTAAACCATATGACCTATAGTAGGAACCATGGAAATGGACCAGGTTCCTGACAACTACTCAGTGGTGGTGAGGGAAAAACAATATCATAAAAGCATTTGTTCCCTCAAATTAGCAATTTTAATTATAATGGAAACAAGTTTTCTTTTAACATTAAGAAAAAACAACCACATGATTTATGTGTAAGAATAAATGTCCAAGAATAATCAAATAAAGTATGTAAAAGGGAGAAGGGACTTGCTTAACTAAACATCAAAATATTTTCTGAAAACAAATATAATTAGGTAAATGTGGTATAGATAAGGAATAGACAAATGGATCAATGGAACATAATGGAGGAGTAGATTTGAAGCTTTCTTGGTTCTGATTCACAGTAAGAAATATATTTTACACRCACGCATCTTGGCTGTGGATGTGTACATGTGTTAAAATAAAAGTTTCATGACCCATTTACCCTCATTACATATAATATACTCTGGTATTTTCTTTTCCTGTTCCATTTTGTATTTTTTAAAATGCCAAATAAAGCCCACAAAATTGATGTTGTAAGTAACAAATGGTCTCAAAAGATATATGACTCAAAAGACACTATAGAATCCAGAACAAAATTTATTATATTTGAAAWTTTAATATATGATAAAAATAGTATTTTATCTCAGCAGGAAAATAGCTAAAATTCTATTTCATACAATAATGTATACAAGATAAATTTTATTTATTAAAGACTTATTCTAAAATAAAAAAATAAAAATCTTAGAAGAACATTTAGGCTACTGCTTGAATAATGTGGAAGTAGGAAAGGATTTCTTCAAAAAAATTTTTTATAGTTGTAAATGGATAGCATGTCTTTATTTTATTTATTTTTTWATGTGGTGCTGAGGATCAAACCCAGTTCCTCACACGTGCTAAAGGCAAGTGCTCTGCCACTGAGCCACAACCCCAGCCTAGGAAAAAATTTCTGAATGAACACAAAAAACCCAGAAGATGGATTTAATACCATAAAAGTGGAATATTTTAAAGGATTCAAGGAACCATTAAGTTAAAAGACAAATGTTAGGATCAAGACTGACATGTTTACAGGGCAGAAAATAGCAAATTGATTAATATCTATAAGATACAAAGAACTCTTAAAAGTTTAGAAAGATACTAAATTTTTAAAAAGTTTCATTGAAAGAAGAGATGGTAAGCAATTTAAAGAAAACCAAAATGATCAGTGAATAAAAGAAGAGCCTTAAACTCAATAAGGAAATACATATTACAAATCCACTGTAATTATGTAATGCCTATCAAACTGGCAAAATTAGTTATACTTTGGAATTTATTTGGGCATTTTATCAAATGGTTAAATAGTTATCATGTGACCAAGTGATTATAACATAGATATATACCCAAGAAATATAAAAAGTCTATGTGTGACCATATAAAAACAAACAAACATTGCAGCATCCTTTTTTGGGGGATGATACTAGGGATTGAACTTGGGGGTCATTCAGCCTCTGAGCCACATCTCCAGCCACATTTTGTATTTTATTTAGAGACAGGGTCTCGCTGAGTTGCTTAGTGCCTTGCTTTTGCTGAGGCTGGCTTTGAACTTGTGATCCTCCTGTCTCAGCCACCAAGCCACTGGTGTTACAGGCATGTGCCACTGRGCCTGGCTGAAGCAGCATCATTTTTATTAGTTGAAAAAAAAGGATTTCTGAATGAACACAAAAAACCCAGAAGATGGATTTAATGCCATAAAAGTGGAGTATATTAAAGGATTCAAGGAACCATCAAGTAAAAGACAAATGTTAGGATCAAGAAATAACCTAAATGTTCATCACCTGCTAAGTAGATAAATAAAATATAGTATATCCGTACAGCAGAATATTATTCAGCAATAAAAGGATGTAAAGTAGTAACATGCCTAGATGAATCTTATAACTTATTAAGTGAAAGAAGTCAATCACAAAAACTCCCCATTTATATGGTTCCATTTATATACAATGTCTAGAATAGCCAAATCTATAGAGTCTGAAGGTAGATGAATGATTGGTTAGCTCTGGGATGAGGTGGGGGAATGAGTACTCCCTGCTAATAGCTCAGGGTTTCTTTTTTGGAATGATAAAAATGTTCCAAACTTACTAGTAATTATTGCATATCTTTG